CCAGCACCATGCTGACCGCCCGTGGTGAGACTGCCAAGTAAAGACACAACACGTCTCCGGGACATGGACTGGTCAGGATCGAGGGCTCTTGTAATGACTACTTCAGGCACCTAAGTGACTCTTCACATTCTTGGGTCCACTCAAAATTGGAGGAACCCCCTATAGCTTTGAAGAAGTGGTAGCACTTGTCTGTCGCCCGGCTCATGAAATGATTTAAAGTGGCTACCCGCCCTGTTAGTCTCTGGACTTCCTTCCTACTGATGGGGCTTTTCATTTCCAGTATTGCCTGAATTTTGTCTGGGTTCACTTCGATGCCCCTTTGCGTGATCATGAAGCCTAGGAATTTTCCTCCTGCAGTACCAAAAACACACTTCTCTGGATTGAACCTCAATCTGTTTAGTCGGGTAACATCAAACACTTTCTACAAACAGGCCACATGGTCATCAGCCTTGGCACTCTTGACCACGCGAAAACATCCAAGTTACTGGCTAGACATTTTGTCAATTTTTCCTTCTCCTTAGATCCCAGACCTGTTCCAACACTGAACTTTCGTCCCTCGACTACAAATATTTTTTCAGTCATATCGAACGGCTCGATCCGTCCCCTTGGGAATTCCACATCCAGCATCATGATTGGTGGTGAGTGTAGAACCCCAAATAATTTTAAACACCTTCGTGGCACTAAGACATGAATATTGGATGGCTAAAGTATACTTCAGATTTTTAGTCTCATTTGAGACCCATTTTCGACATAGGAAACATTCGATTTGGAAAATGATATCTAAATAAAAGTTGTAGCTCTTTGAGTTAGCTTTCCAACACAATTTGAATTACCTCAATCAGATATTGGGAAAAGAAGTTATGATAGAAACATTGAAAGTCGTGCAGTGTCAACTGGACTACAACCGGTCGACCGAAGCTACCTGAAATGAAAATTCTCATTTTTCTCTAAAATTTAAATATTTATTTTCATCAATTATTTTCTTAAAGGGCCACCCACGTTTTTGGCAATAAAAACCCCACTAAATTGAAGCATTTAACCTCAAACTTAAATGTCACCCATGTTTTTTCTATTAAATGAAATTTGACCCTTCATTTGCTTTAAGTTATGAAATATTTACCTATAAATAAAGACCTCATTTCACTCATTTTTTCTCACACCAAAAGCAAGAGCTTTTACATACTAAAGAAAAAGTTTCTAAGAGAGAAAAAGAGAGGGAGGAAAACTATTTTTCCTAGAAGTTTAAGAAGTGTTTTCAAGCATCAATTCTCAACGATTTTCAAACATCCAAGGAGTGCATTTCTTTCAATGTCCAAGTTTTATCGAAGTTTTCAATCCAAGTTTTCAAAGTTTCAAAAGTATCAATCAAGGTAGATAGATGTGCAATGTGTTTAATCGTGTTAAGTTATAAGTTTCGATTCATGTTAATGTTTGTATGTCAAATGGTACTCCGGTACGGCATATCCCTCTATGTTAATGGTTGTATGTCAAATCGTACTCTGGTACGGCATACCCCTCTATGTTGAAGAAATGTTCGTATGTCAAATGGTGCCTCAGAGTACGGCATGTATGAAAAGTTATAAAGTTAATATTTTGAAATGTATAGCTTGATCACGAATGCACCTATGACACCTATTGAGTTTTTCAACTCACGGGTTTAACCCCATCTCTACAGATTGAAGGAATTCTACCTTGGGCATGGATGGAGGAGAAGATGGAGAGTGATACAACGAGCCCATGAAAATCCGGTGAATAAGTGATTTGGATTTATTTTTATGAAATGTTTTCCAATGTTATTTCTTTAAAGTTTTGAATAACGCAGAATGCGAGAACAAGTTATGTTTTCTTCAAATAAATTACATTTTATTGTTTTGAAAATTGATTCAGTATTTTTGTTTAAAGTATTTGAAGTATTGTTATTTAAATTATTATCCGAAGATATAAGCTTCCGCTAAAACGTATACACTTGTTACTAAACTACCGGTTAAGCTAAGTAAAGTAAGTAGCGTTCTCGTCCACTAGGGGTCGGGGCGTTACAGTGAGCCTTTAGCCTGTATACTATCTACATAGCATTTCTTTGATGCATGCTGGTCCCCTCGCACGCACCCGACTCCCCTGCTAGTTGAGAACTTCATAATCTGATGGTAGGTTGATGGGACAGCACCGACTGCATTTAGCAATGGCAAGCCATAGATGGCATTGTAGGCCACGGGAGTCTTGAGAACAAGAAGTTAGTCACAATTACCACTGTCGCTGGATATGTGCCTAGCGTGACTGGAAGCTCCACAGTTCCTTCCGGTATCATTGTTGCTTCTCCAAAGCCTTGTAGAGGAGTGGTCACCATCTTCAACTTCTCTGGGGGAATCTTTAGACCCAAGAAGGCATCTCAGGTGAGGACGTTCACCGCACTTCCCCCGTCAACTAGCACCCTCTTCACGTCAAAATCCGTTATATCGCCTACTATCACTAAGACGTCATCATGGGGATGAGTTATATCGATCAAGTCCTCAAAGTAATGCTCTAGTTGAACCTTACTTTTTTCTGGATAGAGCAGACCCCCACGGAACGTGCATAGATCTTCCTGGCAGAATTTGAGTCGCCGCCCGATGCTACACCCATGATGATCATGTTTATCACTCCTGCCCTTGGCGGGGGTCGATCCTCGAGCCTTTGCTTGCCTCTGTCATTTTTTACATAATTAGCTAATAGTCCTTGCCTTAGTAGGCGCTCAATCTCCTCCTTCAACTGCAGACATTCTTCAGTATCATGTCCGTGATCTTTATAAAAATGACAGTACTTACTTTTATTTCTCTTGCTGGAGGGAGTCAGCATCAATTTAGGCCATTCGAGCTCTTTCATGTGCTGTATTTCCATTAATAACTTTGTACGTAGGATGTTCAAAGGGGTGGGTACTTGTACATCCTCTCGCTTCTACTTGACTGACCGGTCCTGGGTATAACCCTTTTTCATGCGTTCATTCTTTGGCTTATTCTTATCAGCGTACCTTCGCTCATCGTTTTTCTTTCGCTTATGAGCATCCGTCTCTCATCCATCCCTGAGATTTTTAGTTATCTTCTCCGCTTTCTTTGCATCGACGTACTTATCTCCATTCTTCAACAGGTCATGCATCAATTCCGAGGGATTTTTGGAGAGTGACATCTTAAAGGCCCGATTTCGCGTTCCATTCATCAAGGCGGTAACTACTGCGGACATTTGCAAGTCATTTATGCCGATAGTCGCCAGGCTAAACCTAGCCAAGTAATCCTGCAATGACTCATCCTTCTCCTATACGACCTGCATCAACCCAATAGTTGTCTTCCTCTTCCTCTTGCTACTTAGGAAGTAAGCTACAAAGCTCCTGGAGAGCTCATCAAACGTCTTGATAGACCGCAGGGCCAAGGTTGCTACCTAGTCCCTGGCCTTCCTCCTGAGTGTGGGGGGGAAGGACCAGCACATTACTGCGTCCGAGGCCGCATAAAGTCTCATCAGATCTACAAAGGTCCGCAAGTGGTCAAGTGGATCGATGACTCCATCATATGCTTCTATCATGGGCTGTTTGAAGCCTTGAGGTAAGGGGACCGCTATGATCTCAGGTACAAACGGGTCTTCCTCCAAAACCATCTGCCTTCGCTTATCCTTCCTCTTAGATAGTGCATCATCTATCTTTTGGGCCATGATTTCTTCCATCTTTTGTTCCAGGTCCACCATGGCCTGCGGAGGCTACTGAACTATGACCACTGGAGCCCCTAAATCTCCCGTCGCCTACTGAGAAATGGGTGGAACTACCGCGGGTGGCGCTTGAGGCGGCTGCTAGTTTGTCACTTCTGTTGGGCTCAATGGGGGGACCGCGCCTCTCTGTGACTGGTTTTGTAAGAGCGCCATCATTGTTACCAACTGAGTCTCCAAAGTGCTGAATTAACTCTGCGTCACATATTGCAGGGGCGGCGGTGGTTCGTGACCCCTCGTAACTGACTCCGACTCCATCTCTGCCGTATTCCCAACCAAACGAGTATCACTCGTTGTTCGTCTTCTCGACATAGCTTTTTAGTTCAAATATTTCCCACAGACGGTGCCAATGAAATGGTTAAGGAAAGAACCTCCGTGCCCTCCTAGCGGTGTAGGGTGCTTCCGCCGTATCGATTACCAATTGTTATTTGCAAAAGTGAGGTTGGGGCTTTCTCCCTCGTTTTACGTCCGGTGTGAGAATCAGTAGGTGTGTTAGGAGAAAATAAATTCGGAATTCAGATAGCTAAAAAATATGCAATCATCCGTACAAGTATCGCCCTTAGGAGGTATTTATAGACGTCAGAAGCTGAGCGAGAACCGGGTGGCTGTGGTGTCACGTGTCCTACGTTGGCCTTCCCATTATCCCCACGTTCTGAGTGGGGGGTCTTAACTACCACACGGAGGTTGTGTTCGTGGTGACCGCCATGTAACCTTGTTAATTCATCAGAGATTTTGAGGCTAAGTGTTGAGATGACTTTATAGGTAATTCCATGCTGGTCACTGGTCTTGCATAGAGGTAGAGCGCCCTCGGGGGGTCGACGGTCTCTCGTAGAGGTAGAGCGCCCCCATGGGGTCGACGGTCTCTCGTAGGGGTAGAGCGCCCCCATGGGATCGACGGTCTCTCGTAGAGGTAAAGCCCTCGGGGGGATCGATGGTCTCACGTAGAGGTGGAGCACCTCGGGGGGTTGATGGTCTCTTGTAGAGGTAGACGCACCTCGGGGGGTTGATAGTCTCTTGTAGAGGTAGATGCACTCTGGGGGTTTAATGGTCTCGTGTAGAGGTAGACGCACCCCGGGGGGTTGATGACTTCGCATTGGTATGTCATGATTTACATTGCTTATCTTTGGAAGCGATTTCTTATGTTAACTAATATCATAAGTAACTTCACTTTTTTTTAGGCTTAGCCAAACATAAGTACTCAATTGACCACTGAAAATTGCTTATTGTTGTGCACATGTCAGATGCTTATTATTGTTTATTTGTGCAACTAGCAGGTCTCCATTAAGACCAAAGTCTTTCATCCAAACATCAATAGTAATGGAAGCATTTGTCTTGATATCCTCAAAGAGCAGTGGAGCCCTGCCCTTACAGTATCGAAGGTGACATGTGGCCTCCTTGCAATCTTGCTTGTTCTCCGTAGTTTTTATTGCATATGGCCATTGACCAATCTATAATGAACCCAATAATTTTCCCTACTTTTTAACCACACATTCTCCTTGAAATCACTATTCCAAAATCTATTAATCCAAAAAAAAAAATAAAAAAAATATTGATGCTCAAACAAGGGTTGAATCCGTTTTGTATGCATTATTATAAAAATGATTCACACCGTCTCATAATGATAGGCTTGCTTTCGTTTTTTCTCTTCCAAATTATAGGTCACTTTACTTCTTGAAAATATAGTTGATTTCTTAGTTTTTTTTTTTTTAATATATCTCTATTTATTGTGTCTTCTTATCAAGAAATATGAACTACTAGTATTTAAATTATTATCTAATGTACGAGTATATTAGGAAAAATGTAAGAATAATTATGTTTTCAACTATATTAGTTACATTTTCTTAATCTGTATAAAAATGAAAACAAACCTATTTTTATGGGACGGATGGAATATTACGTTTATGAGTGATCCTTTTCTTACGTGCCATATGTATGACAGAGGTTGAATTTGTAGGTGTTGCTCTTGATTTGCTCCTTCCTGACTGATCCAAATCCTGATGATCCTCTTGTGCCTGAGATTGCTCACATGTACAAGACTGATAGAGCCAAGTAGGAGACCACTGCTCGATCCTGGACTCAGAAATATGCCATGGGATGAAAGCTTGGTCTGCTGTTGGATTATCATTGCATTGATGCCCGTTGGTAATAAATAGGAAAAGAGAACATCACGCTGACAAACAAGGATTTTTGTCAGTTTCATTGTCTCATTATCTTGGAGGGTTTCAATATGGTTCTTCATTGAACTAAAGTGTTGCTTCTGTCTTAGGTTCTCATGTATAGAGGTTGCTTCTTGTTCTATCTCCAGAGACAAATATATCTATTAGCTGCTTATGAATGAATTGGCATTCAATTTACCGCTCTTTAGTTTAGGTAAAAATTATAGTTTTAGTAGATTTTGATAAAAGTTGATGAAATTTATGGTTGAAAAATTGATAAAAGTTGTGTGTTTTATGAAATGTGTCATTGATATCGAGTTGGAGGAAAAATGAACTTTAGAAAATGGGGGCCAAAGAGGAGCGAAATATCTTGATTTGTTTTTCTAACTATATGAATATGATGTTTAATTAGTAAAACTATAAATACTTATCTGAAAATTTAAAATTTTTAGTGGTTTAAATAAAACGTATAGAATATGTACACCAAAAACCAAAGAAGGGTTTAGACTATCTTCAACCCTACATCAAAATTTGCATCAAACTAAAAATCATCTTCAACTTATTACATCAAAAGTTGCACCAAATGAATAGTATTTAATAATTTTCTTCATTTTTTTTATTCTTAACAATTTATATAGTTGAAAAATTATTTATTTATTTAATTTACTACTACATAAATTACTACATACATAATTACATTTTTTTTACAAAATATTAAATTATTTAATAAATTTTAAAAAATGTAGTACGATTAATAAAAATACCACAAGAAAATATTAAATTATGTTATTAAAAACAATGTATTACATTTCAAATGTCGAATTATGATATGACAAAGTCGACCTAATATCGTAATTTAATTATCGGAATTCATATATTCATTCCACAAATGTTCAATTAATACATTTTGAGTATTTTTATTTTAATTTATTCCTCGATTATTATAGATTACACAATTAAAGTGTATTACAAATAATAATAATAATAATAATAATAATAATAATAATAATAATAATAATAATAATTAAGATTTAAGAATTAAAATTTATGTATAATGTAAAATGTCACAAATATTCTTGATATCATTTGGCAATAAATTAAAAAAGGGTACAAATGACATTTATCAAATTTGTTGCAATACTGTTCATTTGCACCTTCTGAATGCAAAATCTCAAAATGTTGCAAAATTTAGTGTTGGGTTGGAGTGGCATTACATCAAATATTTGATGCAAAATTGTGAAAAATGGTTATTTGATGTTGTGGATGGAGTTACTTTTAGAATCCGAGCTGCATAACTTGTAACTTTATTTATAAGTAAACAAATAATTTTTTTTAAAAATTAAATAACAAAAATTGATTTATTTAAATTCCACATTACCAGTTGAGAAAACAAACCGTATAGAGCAGTGACTTTACTGTTGTATCTCTGTCGGTGTCTAGTTTGAAAATGACCGCTC